TGAAATTTCTGCAGCGCTTCCCACTAGTCCAGGTACCAAACATACAGCACAGGAAAACACGGCTCTGAATGCAGCCAGCTCAGCTTCAGAGGATGTATCTGCTTAGGGTCTGTGACACATAATGGCAGCGATAACACTTCTAAACTCAAGCCTAAATCAGGACTCACAAGCAGTATTGTTGCCGTGACTAAACTGATGAGTGCAGAGCTGGCAGCCAAACAAAACCACTGCAGGTGTCGGTCAATGGCATTCATCGATTCATAATGCAGATAAACTACCTCTGGATAATTGAGACTTAGCTGTATGGCATTTTTCATTTGAAGGCAAAACAATTCTGTACTAATTAGGAGCACAAATACTATGGATTGCATTTTATGCATTTCACAAGCTCGAAATCTGGAATAAATCATACACACTGGCTGTTTAATCACTTTTATAACACAAATGATGTATAATGAGAAGCTCTAAAAAGATGTGGAGCAGGACTGTGCTCAGCACTCCACAACAATTAGGCTTCAAAAAACAGAACAGAAAAAGTCCAAGAAAATTGAGAAGCAGAAATCACCATTTTCTCTGCAATAAGGGCAGAGATGAAGGAGTAGAAAATCGAAAATCCCAAAGCAAACCTCACCATATTTGTATTATTCTTTAAACACACACCATTTTTTTTCTTAACATCATCAGAGATTAAATGCATACTACTGTATGTCTATAAAATGCAATAAGTCACCCTGGGTATAGACCACAGATATAGATCAAATTCTATATATAATGTATATATGGTCCAGTTACTATCGTGAGAAAGATTTATAAAAGCTACAGGGAAATAAGCACACAAAAAAATGCTTTGCAATAACATTTAGTTACAGCAGACTAATAAGGAATTACTTCTAAGTTCATTGATTTTGAAAGCAGCAACATATCTTCTCATATTCTAAAATTATTAATTTGACACTAAAGACAACAAAACTGAAGGACGGTGTTGAACTATGCATCTTCAAGAGAACTGATGGAGGCAAGAACTATGCATCTTGCACCACACACTTGTCAAGAGTTCCCCAGTTACTTCACATTATTCCTTTGAAGAGCATGATCATGAAAAAGAGGTGGTGGAGAACACTTAGAAAAGACATTTCTAAGTGGACAAATTTAACTTAATTACTAATCACAAGATAGATATCTCTCTCTTGTGATTTACAAAATGTGTTGTTTTTTTTTTCTGCTAGGGAGTTTTTATATAATGGAATCATGAATTATATTAGATCTTATTAGTAGAGCAATGACTGTTCTGAGTAATGTTCCTCCTACAGCTGTCACAATTCAAAAACATTTAAATCTTTTGAATATGTACACTTTTTTATTTAACCAGGAGATTGTGCTGCATTTCTTGCAGTCAACACACATCTATCTTATAATGCAACCAGCAAAACTAGAATGAGTGTTATGACTCTCCCACTTTTTTTTTTTTTTTTTTTTTTGTCCTTTTACCAAGAGAGTGGTGAGGCTGGAACAGGCTGCCCAAAGAGATTGTGGATGTTCCGTCCTTGGAGGTATTCAAAGCCAGGTTGAATGGGGCCCTGGGCAGCCTGGTCTAGTATTAAATGTTGAGCTTGGTGGCCCTGCCTGCAGCAAGGAGGACTGGAGCTTGGTGGTCCTTGAGATCTATTCCAACCCAAGCCACTCTATCCTCAAAGTAACAGCTTTTACGTCGGATTTGATTTCCATTTCTGGTAAAAATAGTAGGGTTTCTCCCATCAATTTCTTCTGCAAAAGTGACCCCTATGGAACAAAGACTTTCTATTAAAGTCCAAGGAAATCTGTCTAAATAGTTCAATAGAGGTCACTGACAGATGTGAGGAAGAACAGACTTTGTATTACAGTTATAGAGCTATTAGCATCAGCTTTAATCTATATAGGTTGCTCCAAAAGTAATGTCTCTTATTTCCATGGAAACTACAATAGACACAAAGTGCAAAATAACACTTTTGATAGAGCAAATGCTCAGCTATAAAATGCTATTTTTCAACGTAGCCACCACTACCAGCTATGCATGTTCACCCACAATGAACAAGAGTCTGCATGCTGTGCTCATAAAAATCTGCACCAGCAGAGATGACCTCTTTTGCTGTTGCTATTGCTGAAGTGTACCACCTATCACCTCACTGTGCTTACAGCTACTGTTTGGTCTCAGCAAACATCAGTGAATGTCAATGGGTGTCATTTTTTCTTCAAGGAGGAATTCAATGATGCACTTTTGCTTCATACGCACTTCCATGTCAGATGCCATTTTGTCAGATTACCCCTCTGCTGCCTTCTCTTGCACAGCAACAAAACAATGAAATATTGGTGGGAGGGTTCAATGTCTACTGCCATACCATCTCCATCCACCTCCGACATCATGGGCCAACATAATAAAATGAGAGGCATTATTTTCAGAGCAGCCTTCATAATAACACTTTCAACAAGCCCAACAGACTTTACTGGAACAACTGGCCACTACTAAAGGGAAAATATACTTAAAACTTCATAGTGCAGGAGTGAGTGCTCATCAGCTACATACAGTAGAAGTGGATGGATACTGTTCCTCAAAGAAGCAGAGGATCTATGGAAACCGGCAATGCTACTGCAATACTAATTTAATGAACACTGGCAAATGAGGCATGCTTTACTGCTAAATTATACCAGTAGCCGTCTGTTCCACACACAACTGAGCATTTGGAAGTCAGGGTACTACAGCAATCTAGAAAATTAAGGTTATACATTTGTGTAAGGCATGCATAATGATGAATCAATGAAACATTTCCTGCATTACACTGAGGGCACCTTCACACAGTTTTTCTTTCACCACAAGAAAATTTAAGAGTGAAGATACAAACTGCAACCACATACAAATTGGAGAAGATGCAGATAGTAAAAGTATCCTTGGAACAGAGGAAACCCAAGGGTCTTGGGATAATGGGAAAAAAAGCAACATACATCGAACTGGATAGCATGTGTACATGTTAATCCAGTTTTAGGATGATTAGAAATATTTTCCTTACTGAGAGATAGCTATTTTCATACCAGATGTTAGTCACTTTTCAGAAGTCCAAAAAGCAATGGTAACTTCACAAGTTGAATATTTTGTTCAAGTGAACAAAGAAAGAAAACACACAAGAAGGACTGATGCAGAGTATTTAGTGAAGAACATTCTCAAAAATGAGTTTAAAGAAAAGAAATTAAAAGCTTTCTGATGCTACAGTATGTTAATAAAATCTCTTTTCCTCACCTGTTGCCATCATTCAAAGAGATGGAAGCAAACTCAGAAACAGCAGGGCATTGAAAAAGGTCAAAATATATTCCTTGCAGGATACACTGGAGCTGAGACAGCAAAGTGAAAGCTTAAAGGCAACCTTCACCCTCCCTCCCCAAAACTATAATTTCAGAGTCATCTGCTTTGGAAGCATTAGTGATGGATCATTTCCCAAGCGTGAGCTGCAAGCTACTTGAATAACATTCATGATAGCTATTTCCCTGTGGTGTCCACATCAATAAAAGTAGATGATAAAAACTAAACACATTACATTCAGATAGTTGAATAAAATGAAATTTTCTCTTCTCCACTCCCTCCAACTGTTTTTGCCCCAAACTTTCAAAGCCTTATTTACATTCATACAAAATCTGTTTACAGTCAACTTCACTGTTGAGTTGGTGATTTTTTTTTTTTTTTTTCAAAACCAACTTAGACACAAAGCAAAGCTAGCCAGGTGTCTCTAAACCACAGAGCCAGCTGTTCCTAACCAAGCTCACAGGAAATAGCAAGGAAAATATGCAGTATTTGAAACATCTGGAATAGATTGCAGAGTCTTTGAAAATTGTGTTCCAATTCCCTTCCTCCTGCTGATGAGATTTCAGGCTACCAAACTGCTGCATCAACTACAGAGGATTAGATAACCCTATGTAACATTTGTCTGAAAGAGAACTTTTCTGAGCTAGTGCAGTAAAAAAACAACAACAACACCACACACACATGAAAAGCAACAAGAATCTGTAGGAAACCTTCTGTAGAATGCATTGGAGCAAACCAAAATAAATCTGTCAGACGACTGCTATTTAATTGAAGGAAATTGACACAGATGGAAAATTGTACTAGTTAACAGTGGTAAACACACAAAAAGAAATCAATATTGCATGCTTTGCACAGTTGCATTAACTCATTGCAAAGAAATGCTGTTACAGTACGTTGCCATAAAACATGAGAAAAGTAAAAGAGACGATAAAAGAGTAAAAGAGATGATCTCTTTTGTCAACTAACTTGCTTGTAATTCCACAAATAATGGAGTGTGTGGTTTCCAATATGAAATAAAAAAAAACAAGCCTAAGTCTTAATTAGCAAAACAAAGCACTGTTTTATTATCTGTTTCTTATTTCATAAGGACAATGGATGCAAAAGAACAGAGAAACCAACAGCTAAGTTTAGAAGGAACTTCTACTTAATTTTACTTTCCATAAAAAGCTGGGAAGTGAAGGTGCCACTAAGGTTTTAATCACTTTCAGTATATCTCTGAAAGATTAAGAAAACTAATAATGTAACCAGTTTACATATGCATATTTTAAACATTCATTACAGATACAAAATTGAATACAGCACTAACTCAAAACATAAACCTCATTTTTAATGTTAGTAATAAAAAGGCAGAATTCTAATATAAAAACTGGAGGAAAGTATTTGTAATTTTTTTCCCCAAAGGTGCAACCAACAACCAATGTATTTTGCAACTGAGATTCCAGTTGTACAAAGGACTGAGAGATGTATTCTCCTTCTTAGGTAGAAGTATAAATGATAAACACTAAAGGAAATCAAATGTGCATTAACACATAGAGTAACCCCCAAAGAGATGATATTTAATAGCAAAGTAATGGTATAACTTAAATGAATACTGAGAGAAGTGCAACACACTTTTTCCAATTTCAGAGCTTTAAAAGTAAGATTTCTTTTCCTTCATAGATTATTTCCAAAGTTATCTTGCATTTAGTTTATTCTTACGAAATGACAGAGAATTTTTTTCCTCTTTTTCGTGAGCATATTCTAAATAGATGTTGAGTTTATATCAAACTCAAGACTTTTTAAACAGAGTCAGTGTTATAAATCAGGGAATACATTTGCAATACACTGTTTCAGGAACAAAGGTGCACACACAAGGACCCAACGGCATAATCCAGGACTACAGGTGCAAGGCTATCCATCCCTGCTAACATGAGCTCCATTAAGTAATGGGATCATTCTTACATACATAAGAATAAGGGCTTTCAGACTCAAGCTCTTTCCTGCTAAAATCCATGTGAGGAAAGCTGTGATAATAACCAATTCAGTGCCTTTTCCTCAAAAATTACATCTAATAGTAATTATACCCAAATAGTCAAATTAACAAAAAAAACTGCATATTGCTCTTATGAAGATTAAACAATTTGGAGAATATACTGTTACAAAATATATTTTGACACAGTTCCTAAGAAGCAATTTAAATAGTAATCTAAGCAGAATTATTTACAGGGGACTCAACGTGGGGTATCATCCCTAAGTAAACCAGTATACTGGTGTGAATTTGATAAAATATTGATGAATGCAAGTTTGTGACACCAAGGAAATTCTGAGTTTTAGTAAACAGTAAAATTGTTCTACATAATCATTAGATGAATCTAAATTATAGAAAAAATTGTCTGAACTGGTTAATCTAAATCATTTAATGCATTTCATTTTACTCAAACTTCAGATCAACAAGTCAGTGGTACGTACATTTTGTGAAACAAGTTACCACTTACACGTGTCAGGTAAAACAAGCACAGATTAACCAAGTCTGACTGTACCTAACCTATACTAATAGATGGTTTGTTCTTACTTCAGCACTATTGTTTTTTTAGTAAGCACATATGCAAATGTGCTGAAACAAAAGGCAGCAATTATAAATATTTATTAGAATGACTACAACTGGCACTTGAGTATAAGCCATCCTGTCATTCAATTTTGAAGCTGTATCTTCACTAATTTGTCTTCTGTTTTTAGTAGTCTTCTATCCTATTAACTTGCAGGCTTAGGGATCATCTGGAAATTTCACACTGGTACAAGAAAGGAATGTCTGTTTGATGCAGTCTGGAGATAAAGAAAGAATTGTACTTCAGTTCATTGGAGAGATTACGCATAAGCAACACTGCTAAATGACATGAAATGCAGAAGCAGCAAAGAACAGCCTTCCCTCCACTCATGTCTGGATGGTACAAATTATTGATAACTTACTATTCTATCAAAGCAATGTTTTTTATTAAAGTTACAAAGCTGTTTTTTATCAAAGGTTACATAATTTCTTAATTAAAACTAATAGCCATTATACACAAAGTTACCTGTCTACAGAAGAATAAGGCTGTTTGAAGTGTGATAGTAATTAATTTGAACTTCTTGTTTCAATACTTACGACACTTAAACAAATAGCAAGTAGGTGTCCAGTTCTCTAAGGAAATTCCAAACCCCTTATCAACTCATACATCCCAGTGGTTGAAAATGCTTACAGCTAAAGGAAGCCACCAAAGTCAAACAGGACAACACATTAACATCACTCAATACAGAGTAAGGTATCAGTCTTTTGTCCAAATGCAGAATTTTAGATACGGATAACAAAGAATCACAGACCACATTATCCTACACTCTTATTCTCTTCAAGGTAGCTTTCAAATACCATTTAATCCTAGTGATAATTTTTAAAACAGTATTTTTACACTTCATATAATGAAAGCTAATAGGTACAGGTTTTCACAGTCTCATTTGTACGAATTTCAATATTCTGAAAACTTAAGAAAGTGAGAAACATGCTACTCTTGTAAAAAAAAGTAATTCTGCCATACAGATGCCACTTCAGATCGATAAATAACGATATACCCTATTTTAGTAAATTTTAACTTACCACAGTTTCACAAAATATCAGAGTAAAAAAACATCACAGAGATGTTAAGAAGTTCATTTCATGATCAAGAACTGTATCACATGGCACAATTATTTATTAGTGTTGTTAACCATATATCACTGTTTTTCATAAAAGGAATAATCTTTTCCAGGTAATTCCTTTTTTTTTCCCCCCCTTCAGATTTCAAAAAAATGTGTTGCTGTTTACTCCATAGTAATACTGTGGCCAATCTCAAAAAAAGTTAGTCTGCTTTATCACATCAAGAGCTGCTACATGGTTAAAATGCTTAAACGCAGTGCTTTGCCTCAAGTAAACTGCAGAGTAAAGGAGATGCCTTTACTTATTTCTGGATTTAGATTTATCTCATCATGCAGTTCAGGTAAAAAGTTAAAGCAGAAATCTCTATTTGTGTTTAATTTACATAATGAAGTCCAATAGGTCCACCTAATGGATAAAAAGCATTAATAGTGGATATGTGCCAGAATGATTAGTCAGCTACCTGAAGGATATATAGAACACATTGTTGTATACACAATAATCATCCTTGTATGTGACTGTCTTAAGCCAGTCATGTAAAGAGAAGTAACACTTACCTATTGTTTGCATGTTCAGACTCATGTCAATCAGATTTATTATGCAGGCAGCTTAGTGCTTCCTAGCTTGCTAACATAAGGTTGACAACTAAAGCCAGTTTTCCTACACAAAGGACAGTATCTTGATGGGCAGCAAATACTACATCTAGCATATGATAAACTACTAGTTCTATTCCGTTTTTGTTTTTGTTATTGAACATTGGTTCCAGGGAGGACTGAGGGTAGCACTGAGTATACACTGTTTATTTTCAAATTTAATGATTTCAAGAGACTTAAGATATTCCTAAGTACACGTAGAATAGAGGCAATATTCACGACAGATGTTCAAAGATCATGCAACAGCAAGATGTTCTTGCTGTGTGACTGGAGATTGGTTGTTTTTAAATGCAAATATTTCATTCAGATTGTCTGGGAGACAAATCTCATCTCAACCTATAAACTGCTTACCTTTAATACAAGAAAAAGAATCTTGTTCTGTGAGCAGCTGCCATGCTTTCAGACATGTTTCTGACTTTAAGATAATTGACAAAGCCTCGAAAGAACAGGAGGAGTCCTGAAGATGTAGAAAATGAACAAAATGAAGTATATCGACCTGAAATATCCCACTTAAGATTATTCTTAAAAATTCATGTTATACAAAAAACAGAGGCCTTTATGCATCATTTACAAATTTAACAATCAAGCCTCCAACTTTTACTTTGTATTATATAAGAATATATCATTATGTAATGTTTTTCAATTATTTTACGCTCATTCTGAGTTAATGTATCATCTGCTAAGAGACTACACGAAAAGCACTAAAAAGAGAATACGTATTCCACATGATATTCAGATAAAACTTTTTAAAGAGCTTACTACTGTGTTAGAAGAGTATCTGAAGTACAAAACTTACTTTGTATGTATTTAAGGAGTCAAAATAAAGAGAACACAGTACAAATTGTTCTCACAACAAGACAATAATAAATTCCAGGAGATTATGGCTCAAGATTAAACCTTCTAGAAACCTAGAAAAATGCACTTGCCAAAGAGGAATATGAACAGCAGTCAATTCAAAGCTACCCATTGTGTGTAACAATTTAATTTAAATTGTGGAATTGACAAAATGTATTTAATTTTTTTTTTAAATTCAGACACACCCAGAAAAGCACTATTGTACAGTGAACATCTACAGAGATGTAGAGCTCTTTGGTCCATTTTCCTTTTGTTCCATTTTCCTTTCCATATTGTTTCCTATGCTCATTTCTATTGTAAAAGTGTGTTGGTTTTTTTTTCCCAATTTTTATTTTACTTCTCTTTTGCATCTTCAAATTCAACTTCCTTAAGACATACACAGACCAATTATAAAAAAAAAGAAAGAAAAGAAAACAACCCTAGAGAATAATATACTGACTTCTGGAACCTTGACCTAAGGTCATTTCTATGATTAAGGTGAATTCTGGATGGAAAATAGAGCAGTAAGATCTAGATAAAAAATCAGTCTATTACAAAAGTTGCTACACAGACGTTACCAGAGATAGTCCCATATTCAGCTCAAAATCAGCTAAAACAGCAAAAGGTGGTTAAGGAAGATTTTAAGGTGTCTGAAAGCATATCTCCTACATTACAAGCTGGAAAACAAGTCCATGTTCAACTGATATTTTATATTTATATTAAAACAACACAATGCAGTTTCCATTGTGTTCCTTAGAAAGAAACCTTGGCTAACATTTAAATTTAAATATGAAAACTGTCTCTCCCCAGTTTGTTTGCAGTGCATGATAAGTGTTTGGAAATAGACCATTTCATTTTTCCAAGATTTTTCCAGACTTTAGAAGAAGTGAGGGGAGCATGAACAGATGGGTGAACACCAGAAGAAAAAGACAGCAAAATGTGGGCTTAAGTATGTAAAAAAAAAACAAACCAACAGAAGAGTGAAATTCTATTTACTCAATTTTAAAGAGAAACAGGATATACTACTTACCACATTCTGATTGGAAAGTTACCTGAAACCATGATATATAGACCTAGCTGGCAGAATCTCCATAATTTGATAATACTCCTTCATTTGCTACTAAGAAGGTATATAGGAGTAAATCCATGTATAGTATTCTAGCAATTTCAGTTTAAGCCATCTTATCAGTTTAAAAACACTGTTGGCTTATGTCATATAAAACATTTGTAAGACAAAGGAATGCTAATGCTAGATATAAACTTCATGGATCACAGTGCCCTGGAATAAAAGGTGAATAAAGCTCAGGCTGAAAATAAGGCTTTCCAAAATCAACGTGGACTGACTTCTGAATAGGACAAGTAATGCAAAAGAATAGTTAAAAAAAAAAAAAAAAAAAAGAGCACCACAAAGGTTTGCTTTAATTAGAAGTTTACCTGGAGATATTTGAGCATGGAAATAATTGTTTCACTTGCTACTTAAACACAATCATCTCAAACAGAATATGAAAGTATTCAAGGCATTGGTGTTGTGGAGTGTTACATCTGCAGTTTCTGTATGCCTCTAGTAACAAAGAGGTATAAAAAGCACAACAGTAGAGGAAGCTACGAAGAAGCCTAGTGAATATCCTCAAACTTAATTAAGAGGAAGATACATAAAATACAGAAAAAATAACATTGTTTTAGGCTTTTCTTCTGTGTGATAAATAAATCAAAAGCAATCAGATCTCTCACTCTCAAAAAAAAAATTACTTAACATTTTACTAAGATGTGCTGTTTGACTCAAAGGGAAGAGTGCCATCTACTGAACCGCACATACTATGCTTCCAGAGCTAGAAAATAAAATGGATAGTAGCACTCATCCTGTAAAAGCAAATTACTCCAAATTTCACATTCAAATCACAAAATCCACAGTAGGAAAAGGGGTAAAAATGCTTGAGGTTTGGTATATCATCATTAAAAGTATACTCATCAAGTTCTGGTCTTCTGTCTGAAGCTTTGAGAACAAGCAGACAGACTTCAGAAAAAGCTGATGTCATGGAAGCACTGTGATCAGAAAGCATGAAACCATTCTCTTGTCTGACTGAGTAACTACTGATGCAGTATGCATTTCAAAGGACTAGAAAAGGACACTTTATAACCTCTGTGCAAGGTACCTGACTCCACCTTCCTAAGGTCAGTCATATTTCTTAAAATGTTAAGGCTTGACATACAAATCATATATAAGTACTTGGTATCACTCACTTTCACTATGTTCTCTGCATAAAACCTAGAAACATTATGCAATTCTGCACCCTTCCATCAGCATGATCAAATTAAAAAGCACAAGTTACAAGTCTCAGGTACGTACGCAATTACACATGTAGAACAGAGTTTTCACATGAATGTTAATTGAATAGTCTGCAGTTCACACAGTAATATAACATGGTAGTAACCTAGTGAATATTACAGAAATACTAACAGCATACAAAACTATCAACAGCAAAATAAAAAGTATACAGATGAGCACATTATAGAATGCTACTCACAAGGACATGACACATTTCAACAAAACAAATATTTTCCTTTGCCACTTACCAAGTACCAGAAATATCCACCAAAGCCAGTACTGTCCATTGAAATATCCAGTAAAGTAATCTGAAAACTGCAATTTATACACAAGGTTTAGTAAGACAAATGACTAAGACACATTTAATGCTTCAGGCAAATACTGGGAGCCGAGAAAAAAGTTCAAGTTAAAATAATGTATTTTCCTAAAATGCAAAACCAGTATTTGTGCAGTGCAGTAGTTTAATATACAAGAAAAGCTGTCAAAGTCAACATGTTACTGGTAAAGTTATTTTAAATCTTTAAAGAGACATTGTGTGTGTGTGTTTGTGTGTGTGTGTGTTTGTGTAGCATATATACATACGTCCTGGCAAGTAATACTTGCTAGAATCATCTGACATTTTCTATTAGGATGAATCACCACTGACAATTTTTTTTCCTGCCATCCCAAACACATTACAGCAGCCTGCTGCTTCAGATATTAACACCAAAAGCCACATTAGTTTAATCTTATCAGATGGGGATGTTCTGCTGACCCCTCAAAAGAAGAGCTTTTGACCTTCTGTATACCCCCTACTGTTAATCGCTGCCAAGAATACCAGCCCCATAAAGACCTCCAACTCATTAAAGTCTTTTCATTTTCAAACTAGCATTCAGTTCCCAGCAGTGAGCTGAACACAACTAAATGAACCTTGAAGAGGCATTTCAACTGTTCCTGTTAGTGACCATGGTAGACAGTTTTGTCCTCTGTGATGTGGGAGGCAGCTGGAGGGCAGAGTGTGATGATGTTGGAGACAGGTATCTTTGCCTTTACCAGACTCCAGACTGCATGCTTCACTGATAAAAAAAAAGGCTAATCAAATGTCTCCAAAGCATACATAAGAAACAGAACAAGGAGATGTGTGAAAAGTTGCCTGAAGGAACTAAAAAACCTTTTTAGTAACTTTGTATATTTCTCATACACCTCCATTCCTTCATTCAGTACATTTATTGTATCCTGTCACAGTAGACCACATTTTCACTTCTAGGGCACTTCAATAGTTATCAACCAAGAAATCATGCAACTCAGGCATCACTTACTCTACACACACACACAAAAAAAGTACTATCGGAAAACCTCTTCAAACAGATAAAAATGACAGATGCTGAAAGAACTGTAGATATAGCTGTTGTTTTTTTGTTTCCCACAAGTAACTGCACTGAAATTGAAATGTTTTCTTCTAAATATAGCCTCCTCCTCTCAAATCTTTAAAGGCTTAATACTGTATTCTTTTCTAATGATAATAATAATTAAAAAAAATATCTAGAAATAGAATTGCTAAATTGAATTAAAAGAACCAGTATATAATTTACCCCTATATAAATACTACAGTTTTTATTATTCAGCAGTAAGCATGATGCTTTTCATAAGTTCATTAAAATATCAAATGAATACTCAATTCCCAGAAAGACCACAGCATTATTAATCCAACTTCACCTGTTTCTCTAAGCACATATCTTTAAAAAAAGAAACAAAACTTACATTTTTATTTACTTGGAAAAATATCTTAAAATCACTGATCAATCAAGTACTGGCCTATATGCATTACTCTTGCTGTTTTTCAAGCAAAAGAAATCATTGTTGCAGAACTTACTGAACAACAAAACCAATTCTATTTGTTTTCAATATATTTCTTTAAAGTTAGAAGTGTAAAATCGGACTACTTAGGCAATTTTTTTTCTTACTACTGAATGAAGAAGTGCAGCACAAACCATTTGAGGAGATTGAAATAATGGAATAGAATATTTTTGTGCACATGTACACATGTGCATCACCATTAAAACAAAATTGTCAGCATATATCCTATTTGGTTCTGTTATTTTCTCTAGAAAGGGATACAGCACAAGAAGATAACCTCCACTATGAAAAAGTAGCCTTGAGGCCTTGGAACTGATCAGATCTAGTGTTTCCAAATTAGTAACAGATTAAACAAAAGATTTGAAATACAGGCTACAACTTAGTAATTATTTAAAGAAGTTTAGCATATGTTGATTTTAGTGTTACGAGCATATTTTCAAGTAGACAAGAATAATAAAACATACAACAATCAAGTCCTGCCTTCTGTTTTGTATGCTTGAACTAAAGTTAAAAAGAACCACAATACCTACATAGTTAAAAAATTCACGTCTTGTCTATTAAGACAAATTCCATTCCAAACCTGAATCCACTTAAATATACCAGAATCCCACCTAGTCTGGTAGCATTCCTCTGTTTTGGGGAAGAAAAGAAAATACCTTTCAGATGTAAGAAGGATGCAGGATATGTGCCACCCAAGGCCCCATGTAATCTCTCCTCACTACAATCCTTGCACTATTGTGCAAAGAGTAAATGAAGTTATATTAGTAGCATGTACAGGAGAAAAAAAAAAATCAGAGTTGGCAGCACATAAAAAACTACTAATAATCCAAGATCTTCTCCTTCACTAGGCAGGATGAGATTTTAATGCTGTGCCGGAGACATGTGCAATTCAAGTTCAGAATTATTGTCTCATCTAGTATTCTCTTAGAGAAATTGTCTCCGTTTAGTCAGCATAACTTTCTGAAAGTATTTAAGTTGGTAAAAACGTGACTAACATCACACTTGATTTTGACTCAACACTGTATGTATGTACCTGGTCTTCTTTTCCCCTGTAAGATATAAGAAAACAGGGGGGTTTTTTGTTTGTTTGTTTGTTTTTTGTCCTTTTGATATACTGAGCCACAACTTACAAGTTTTTCTTTTAGGAAACTTTCTGAATAATAAAAATGATATTTTTATATTTGCTCCACTTATGCATGCCTTTAAATATTTGTGCAAAGAATCTACATTTATTTTAAAGGAAGTGCCACATAAATGGTAAATCAGATAAAAATAGATTAAGCTTCATAGTTACTAAGTACATACAAGCGTATAGCAAGTAAACTCCCTACTAAAGTGCAAGTTAGAAAAAGTTCTAGGCACTGAGTGCTGGAAATTAATATACTTGTTTATAATGCCAATACTGTGTATGCTTAGATAAATTATTATGGGTTGGTTCTACAAGCAGAATAAAAAAACATACCCGTACAATGAGAATCCATTTGATCAGAGAGAGACCAAATCCACAGATTGCACCATACCTTCCAGCTATGGTATTGGTTATACAGAAGGATAAACAAAATCCAATCCAGTTGAAAATAAATGCCACTATAAAATAAAAGAAACAGTAGCTTACGTTAATCTGTATAGTTAAGTAAACAGACCACATTATTTTCACTTATTAACTAAAAAGGGACATGCTTACAGAGTCTGCAGTTCTCTTTTGGTAATTCAAGCTGCCAGATTACTTTGAACGCAGACATTCTCAATAGTGTAGTCACTTAATAATAAAGTAAATGGTAAACAGGCTCTGACCTAATACTTTAAACAAGAGAACATTCCAACATGAAAGAAAGTAATACTTTGCTACAGAAATCTGAGTAGACAACAGTAGACAAAAGGTTGAATGCAAATAAAGGACTTGAGCATACAGTATTTGGATTCAAACAGAAAATAAACTTGCTACAATTTTATAATTCAGTTTCATGCACACGCGTGCGCACCAAGGTTGCATATTCAGCTTTATTCAGTTTGAATAGAGTAGAAGCATCTGATCTTGCTCTGCAAACACAGTATATGAAGATAAGTTGAAAAGCTGGTGTTTCACTGGTTACTGTCTTCTCTTCTAGATCTATATCCAAGGATCCTTTACATAGCAACTTAAAAAAATGAAGCAACAAAAACAACATTGAGCCTGAGTACCATTGCTACTTCTGTTAATTTGATACAGCTCTCAGTAGTAACACGATTAAATGTTTCATGTCTTACTGCTTATCCAGTTGACAAGCAACAATATCATATGTACAGACTTCAGTTTGCGGGGTAATCCCCAATTAGGCAGTATACATTAGCCTTGGGAGTGAGGGAACTAAAGAAAAGGCCATAGATCAGAACAGCTGAGAGTACTAAAGGAAGATGACAACTCCGAGAAAGGACCAGACAATGTACATAAGGGAAATTAAGCCCACAGTAAACCCAGAAGACATCAAAGAGGTAGGGAGGAATGGATGTAAGACAAAGGAGAGAATCCCTGCACACAAATTCTGAATGGACTAAGACCCAATACTTGGGGGCAGAGCATTACATCATACAGGAAATGTCTGTCTTTGCAGTAAAAATTTGAACACACAGTAAAACTTTAGGAACAGAAAAACTGTTTCTAGGTAACCCTTTCAAAAGTTTTCTTATTTATTTCTTTGCAATTTAAAACCTCGTTACAATTCCTCATCGAGTCGTGATGATTTTTCCACAAATGCAGAAATTGAATAGTTTGTAACACTGAAGTTCCATTCACTTAAAGAACTGAAGTTTCAAGAGAAATTTTGAAAGACTTCACATCATCACAGTCATTTTGTACAAGTGAGAGAACACCTTGCCTCTACTGATGATGAGAAAGTTTACTTTTACGTTAATTACTAATAAAAAGCCCTCTAAACTCTAAATAAACACTGATCCAACCCAGTATATGTAGAAAAGAAATAAACAAATAGTATGTTATTACATATCAATTGCAGAACAATATTAGCAATTCTGACACATAACTTTCCAAAACAGACAGCATTTACATTTGAGAAAGCTTGGACACATTGCTCCGGAAGCAGGAATACCCATTTTTAAGCATGCTTTTCAAATTCATCATACTTTCAAGAGTAACATTTGCAGAAGTTAGTTTTTCAGAGTGTCTGTTCCTGCCCCACCCATAACTACAGGCTGAGGGAGCTGGGCTTGTTCAGCCTGGAGAAAAGAAGGCTGCAAGGGGACCTCATTGCAGCCCTTCAGTACCTAAAGGGAGCCTACAAACAGGAGGGGAATCAACTCTTTGAAAGGGTAGATAACAGCAGGACAAGGGGAAAGGTTTTAAGTTAAAGGAGGGAAGATTTAGGTTGGACATCAGGGGGAAGTTCTTTACAGAGAGTGGTGAGGTGCTGGAACAGGCTGCCCCGTCCCTGGAAGTGTTGAAGGCCAGATTGGATGGGGCCCTGGGCAGCCTGGTCTAGTATTAAAAGTGGAGGTTGGTGGCCCTGCCTGTGGCAGGGGGGTTGAAGACTCATGATCCTTGAGGTCCCTTCCAACCTTGGCCATTCTGTGATTCTGTGGTAACTAGTTACTGCTCTTTCCCTTCTTCTCATTACTCAAGCTAGCTACTGATTGTGACTGAGTGTGGCCTTGACAGGCAAGCCAGTAAGGAGAAAGACGACAGACAAGCATATAATGGACTTACAATACTTACCACTTTTAATGGTTATATATAAAAGTAAGGATTTATAGCACCTACATCTTGTATATATTGTAAAAAAAATAATTTACCCAAGTATACTAAGGGAATTAAGTTCTAATAATCAAAATTTTAAACACAATTTTATTTTCTTTTCAACTTATCCTAAGCAAAAAAATTCAAAATAGAATCCTCAGTCACTGAGTATCAGGAAGATATTTAACACTGAGTTATTTGCACAACTCCTGAAAGACAAGGCATCAATGCTTTCCAGTATTGCTCAAACTTTATTCCCTTCCCTTTGCTCAGTGTGCTGTTCCATCAAGTTAGCATCAGACAAGAAAAGTGGGAAAGAAAAAGCATAGACTGTCTAAAAGCTGTAAATTATGCAAGTTTAGTTTTATTAGGATGTGTGAACAAAGTAGTGAGATTTGCCTTCTATATGTTTTTATTTATTTCAAAGTAGGAGACTGACAAAACAAACCATCTCTGTCTACAGCTCAGAAATCACTAAACTGCAAACTTCTTGCTGCAACAAATTCAACCCTCTGCATTATGCAACAAGAACTGTTTCCCATTCCAAAGATCATATTCATATTTTATCCTCTCAGCTACTGTTCTCTTCTCTTTAATAAATTTAAGATATTTAAACTTTCGCTGGCTGCACTGAAGCCATGACTTCAGTCTCTCTTTTTACTACTCTAACAACACACAACAAGAAGGACTGTTAAAGGTTTTTATTTTTAATACACTCTTGAAGTGACAACAAGGAGAGTAAGCATATACAAATGTATTTCAAATTACATTTTTTAAAAAATCAGCCAGTAGAGTTATTTCATGACAACAGAACTCATACTGAGCAACAGGTAAGAAGCTGCTTTTCAAAAAGTGTGATAGGTTAAAGTTTTGGTGTTTTCTGTTGGCCTTCAGAGCTGCAAGAGCACACTGCTGCTTCATGTCCAGGCTATTCATTCATCAGCTCCTCCCATCCCCCCTCCCCAAGTTTTTCTCCACAGGTCAGCTCTCACTGAATTCTTCTTCCAGTACATATACACCCGGGATTATTCCAATCCAAGTGCAACATCTTGCACTTGGCCTTGTTGATCTTCATTGGGTTCATGTTGGCCCACTTCTCAAGTTTGTCCAGGTCTCTTTGGATGGCATCTCTTATGTTCTATCAACTGTACCACTCAGCTTAACATTATCTGCATATGTGATGAGGGTGCCCTGATCCCACTGTCTCTGTCACTAATTAACACGTTACAGGACCAATGCCAATATTGACACATTCTATTCCCACAATTTACAGTCAATGCATAAAACATAGTTTTTCCATTTCTAATCTTATTACATTAGAAAATCCAACAATAGCAACAAGCATAGTAGAATATATCTGTTTCTGCCTCACATTCTTTCACTCCACTCACTGATCTTTTTAACTTAGCTTTCCACAGCTTCATATTAATTACTCATCTTAAGTTTACTAACGTATTTTCCATGATACTAAACATAAAACTGGTCTGAAGATATATGCTGGGTCCAAATTTAACCCACAGCTCAAGTCTGTAATGAGATTATAATGGCAACTACATAAACAAAATGCAGCCATACACAATTATTTCCTTTATTCCCTGAGTTGTCTGTCCAATGAATTTGTTGTGGTCTTTTTTTGGTTGGCTAAGCCAACCAAGACTTTACAATACCTTTCAATTCATGCCTGCTTGCAACTTCCCCAGGTAGATTTCATAGCTTGTGTGCAGTTTATTGACTGAAGCATTTACTAGCTTTAAAAACTGAACATTAGCTTATAAAGGAATGGGTATTAATTGTTCCAACATAGCACCTGGAACAAAATTTAAATTTCTCTATATTGAGACTTCTCTGATGTTGAGTTGTAGATATGTTTAAATTGCCTGGAAATTATTCAAAAACAAATCACATCTCATCAAGATAAGAACTTGAAATTCAGCTGTTTGATCCAACATCTTTCTTTTCTTTCCTTTCTTTATCAACTCATCTGTGGGCTCGAATTCTTTTTTTTTTTTTCTAGGGCTCAAGGACATCTGTGGAGAAGGCCTTGGAAGGCTCTGATGGACAAAAAAAATGAACAGGAACCAGCAGTGTGTTCTTGCAGCTCAGAAGGCCAACAATATCCGCAGTGCATCGAGAGGGACAACCAGAACCAGAAGAGGGAGGTGATTGTCCTTCTCTACTCTGACCTCGTGAGTCTCCATCTGGAGTATTGTGTTCAAGCCTGGGGCCCCCAGTAGAGGAGTGCGGAGATGTTGAAGTGGGTCCAGCAGAGAGCCATAAAGATTAGTAAAGGGCTGGAGTGTCTCTCCCATGAACGAAGGTTGAGGGAGTTGGGCTTGTTCAGCTTGGAGAACAGAAGGCTCCAGCAAGACCTCATCATAACCTCCCAGTACTTACTTACAAGCACTAGGGAGACTGACTTTCTACGCATTCTGATAATCATAAGACAAGGAATGGCTTTAAATTAAAACAGGGGAGATTTAAGTTTGATATTAGGAAGATTTATTTTACTCAGAGGGTGGTAAGGTGTTGGAACAGGTTGCCCAGAAAAGTTGTGGATAGATCTTTGGAGATGTTCAAGGGCCAGGCTGGATTGGATCCTGGGCAGCTTGATCTAGTGGATGGCAACTCTGCCCATGGAAGGGAGGTTGGATCTAGATGATCTTTAAGATCCCCTCCAACCTAAGCCATTCTATGACACTAGAAACTGATAGAAATCCAGCTCTGATCACTAGAGAGCACATTCTGTGCTCACTAGCTTAATCAAAAGCTCCAAAAGTTTCTTAAAACATATTTCATCCCTTTGAGATAAAATAGGTTGGTTTCCAAATTTTTCCTTTAAGTTTCTGAAACAAGTGCTAAATAGAAATACACAAAACCTTTGTTTTGAAAACAAAGCAACATGTTGATGTAAGAGAGTTATTCTTTAGACTATATTGTCTCCTTTTCTTCCCTTATGCCAAACAACAGTACTTTTCAACTTAAAGGTTTGTAACTTTTACATACCAAGCTCCCACAGAAGAAATATCTGACCACTAGATGGCCTCAAGACATTTTTGCAGGTTCTGCAACTACCACTAGATGGCAGCTACACATCACTAGTAAATGTCAATCATCAGGGAGGAACAGTAAAAAAACCAAAAAACACGTATTTGATTATGCTTCATTGAATACAATGAAGTGACAAAAGCTAATTTCTGTTTTACACTTAAAATTAAAGCAACCATCTCCCAAGATCTTCCTACAAGTGCTGTATGTAACAGTCACAGAAAGAATCTGAGTGAGCACATCAAGAATAAGTTGTTCTTTCTGTGACCCTCTCACTATAAGATAGTTCCTGATACTGTTTTCCTGAATTTTAACTCCATGAGGAAACTTATTTCCAGGTTCTCACTGATCTGCCACCTCTGCTTTTGGGAATTAAACATAACCCACATAGAAAAAACAATAGAGCTGTTCCGGAAATTTTAACTCCTGCTCCCCTGAGTTTACTGTGGAATATCAATAACCAAAAATCATACAACCATGACATTTACATACATCATATTTATGGTCCGTAAGAGAAGAGGCAGGAACACATCCCACACATTGTTTAAGATCTATTCCCCCTAAGTTGTTTAGCTCCTTTTTCCATCTAATTCTTCAATTCCGCACTCCCACAAAAAAAAACCACACTGAAAATGAGTATTACAGATCTATATATACAGTGAGTTGTTAACTCCTCACATAATGAGCATAAATACCAAATAAACTACATAAATTCTCATATGTAGATGCTACATATAATAGTCAAAATTATTTGCTTTTAGCGCAGCTTCTGCACAGCGTGATTTTAACTACCACGCTCCTAGGTGCAAACTGATGTGCTTTCACTAATGATATAAAAGCTTAAAACATTTTGGAGTCACCAATTCAACCACTTGACTTCCAAGTGCAGTACTAATGAAGGCCTGAACCAGGACTTGAAAGCAAGAACAAGTTCATACAATACAGAACCTAAACAGGATAAATACAAATAATTACAGAACACAGGGCAGGTGAAGAAAGGGAAAAAGAAACTGAAGAAATCCCTTCACCCCACAAAATTGGACACTTTTTATTGTCCAATAACAGAAACAGATTAGGATAGAAAAGTCACTTTGTCACCAAACAAATATTTGTGTATTTGCAATGTGAGATAGACCAATTATTCTCCTTCCAAGACACAATCCCCAAGCTGTGCATCATATATGAGCATGAACAAATTTTGAAATTCTATAACCTGCATCTCCAGTCATGATATAGGTAACTAAGATAGACATAAAAGGGAAATGAACTAAAATGAAATTTAGGTTGAAAGGCATGAAGAGGATTTTAAATGAATAATCAGCTTTCATCCTGATGACTGCTAAGAAAAATGGCTGCATCCCCCGCCCCAAACTTTTACACAGGTTGCCAAAAACTCATTCATTTCAGAATGGGGAAATAGCTTTAAAATTAGAAATAATTATGTAATTAGTGAAACTGAAGCAACTTTTTTCTACAAATAACTTCCAGTGGCTAAATCTAAGTTTGCTCAACACAGTAGGTAAAGTACAAGGCAAAGAATGCAAAGCATACAGAGACAGTGCCTGAAGAACTGGTCAAGTAGTTCTGGCTGTAAGCAGAGACTATCTGAAAACTCTACATATTTATGCTCTAGCAGGTAGTTCAATCTGAAATTAACTGTAGCTGCATGTGTTCCATGAGGCCATACACAGCTACTTAATTCACTCTACTAATACAGGCAACTTTTATACAGCACACTCTTTCTCAAGTTTCTTCTACCTAAAAGTTGGTTGCCAGGTCTCTGCAATTCCGCCTTTAGAGGTGGTTGTCCAACTAGAAAACAACAGAACTACCCAAGTTATACTATAAGTATATACATAGTGTATATATATCTTGCTATATCTCAGAACAATGATTATTTTTGTACCCTAATATGCAAAAGGTGTCACAGGAAAAAAGCATAACACTGGCTACATCTGAAACAGGATGTACTTATATCTGCATACAGGTAAAAAAAAATAAATACAGTACATTAACGCAGTTTTATCACAGTTACTTTTTATATTCCATAGAAATAAGGTACAATTAAGAGATACCTCTGTAGGTCTGGGATACAAGATAACTTACTGAAAAATGCCAACATGAAGATGCCATCATTGCCCACTCTAAGCTGATCTGCATCACTGAAATCATCCCGTGGTGGATACTCTTCTTCCTGGATTTACAGGTTAGTGATAATTTAGTGAAAAGTTTATTTTAGAATAACTAACTGTAGGATTACAGTATTAATCATGTTTCTATATCTAGAAAAGAACTGACATTTCCGTAACATGTCCACATCAAGGAACTTGAAAGAAAAATAATATCTGTAAACAAGGCTTATGTTACTTATGTTGACAGAGCATGGATGAAACTGAACAGTTTCTGTAGAAGATATTGTCTATTCATCTTAACTATAAATTATTTCCAGTGACTACTTTGGCAATGTAAACCAATAAAAAATCCTCTCATTATGTTTATTTTAATATGCAGCCAAGTTGTTACTAATAATTTTTTCCAAAAGTTTATGTTTTATTTTTTTCTCTAACAGAAAGATCTTTTAATGCTTTGAGTTGAAGAAAAAGGATTTAGAATAAGGTTAGTATCTTAAAAACGCTGATGCTGTCATGGTTTTATGTTTTTTGGTTTTCAGTATTCCGCATCAAAACATCATGTAGTGTACTGGGAGTTAAAGCGTTAATGCTCGATTCCCAGTGCTTGCAACAACACCTGGTGGTCTTTCTCACTTATGTGTTCCCAGGTAGGCAGCACCTCAGACACAAGCCACTGCCCCATCCCCAGGCTGGCCAGGAATGAGTTCAGCATTAACGCTTTAACTCCCAGTACACTACATGATGTTTTGATGTGGAATACTGAAAACCAAAAAACATAAAACCACGACAGATGCAAAAGCAAGCACTAATCAATTTATAGGTTATCCTACAAACCACTGTAAAAAAAAATGTAAAGGAAACAAAACCTGTAGAAACACTAGAGGGCGTGAGCACATTAAAATTGTTTTAAATATCCAAACTCAGAAAACACAATACCTAAGTTAAACAAAAATAAATGGATGTCAGTCAAAACAGTGCAGAAATTTATCTGGTCATTTCAAAATACTAAATCTCAACACACTGAAAGTATGGGTCTGTTTCTCAATATTTCTCAATATTTTCAACAGGACTTGGACGATCAATTCATGTACAGCTGCGTGGGCTGTGCCCATTGTGACAGATTTTTAAAGAGTCCAAAGAAAACTGTAGAAAACAGCTAAACATTATCTTAAATGAACAACAGCAAAACAAAGCAGGGTACTAAATTAAATAATGGCTGTCAGTAACAGTAGCAATGCAGTCTAGGCAGAAACATGAGTAACATCTATTTACTTTTCCTGTACTTTTTCAACAACTGATCATAATGGCTTAGAATTGAAGTAAGAAATATCATATTAAAAATAATGAAAAATAAAGTGAGATTTAGCTGTTTTACCCAGAGCAAACAATTACTAATGAAATAACGTACTTCTTGTTCTTGTACTATGATTTTAACATATTATTCACTCACTGTATCAGTGGTTACTTACATGTATTTTTATACATACATCTATTCATAACTAAAAGATAATTTAAAATCACAATGATCTGTCAAGCAATTGTCATATTCACTTTTGTGAACAGTGCAAAAAAATCTACCATGGTGTAGTGATTCCAGTTAAGTTTGCTAGAACAAATTGTACCAACTCCAGGCAGCTACTATTAAACTTTATAACGTGGTCATGAAGTTCCAGTTGCAATTTTCCATTTCAGTTCATTTATCAGGTCTTTGTATCTCAAAAAATTATGAACACACTACTGTTCACAAGGACAACTCCAATTAAATCACGAAGAGTTGAATAGCAATCTGAAGAGAGAATAACTCAGCTCTAGGTAATTTCAAACGTCCATAAGTGGTCACCTTAAGCAGCCATGAAAGCATTAGTTTATTTAGCATGACTTTGCTTCAGCTGCAAGACTGATGAGGGGAAGGGAAGAGAAAGACTGAAAATACATTAAACAAAAGGTTACATTTGAAGTGCTTATATTTAAAATACACATGCCTCAGAAGCTTTTTTCCAAGTTTTAACAACAAAAGTTTTCAATTTTAATTTCATAAAGTCCGTAAAACCCCATTTTTTTCTCCTTAAATTATTTGCTAGCTGCTGTACCTCACACTGGCTTTTACAAATCAGTTCACCAACTCAGTCTTAACCTTCACAAAATGATCTTGCTTACAGTAAAAAGTTTAACATATTCATCTATACACACATTACTAAGGTTTGTATATGGAAGAAACATGCATCAGTATATGGCCTAGGGAAATGAAAACAGGCACTTGCACTAAGTATGAGCAACTTATTCATCGTACTCTACGCCAAAAGGGAATTATAGTGAACTATGTTCTATTTACTGTCTTCAAGAACCAGCCTATTAAAGTTATCGAAATCTTCAATGAAATGAAATAGTTTCCTACCTTTAAACCATATTCAGCACATTTCTAATCACATAGTACTTGGTTTCATCATTGGTCCCAGAGACCAAATACATTAACTGGCCACTGCTCAAGCATCAACAAATACATTACCTTCATAAACCAGTGCTCTCATTATACTTAGCGTCAAAGCTATCACTTTCTTCAGAGTATAGTTGCTTGGAACCAAAAGGTAGCAATTTTTGGAAATAAAAAGGGACAACGCAAAATAACTGTCCTCTCAAGTGATGATTAGAAACTCAATAGTTTCATAATAATACTTCTATTAGATACTAATATTTTACTCAATAAGAATAACTTTATGCTTATGTTTATATTCTTAATGTGAATGTCACTGATATCCTAGTGCTATACATATACACACATGCACACATATATGCACACAAATCACTAAAAAATTCTTTTTTTCAATATCTTTCATTATTTTTGACAAAATAGTCTGATTACGGATCATAGATAAATTTATTTTGATTGCTGGAATGCTGAAATTTGTATAAAAATTTAATATTCCTATGACCAGGAAAATGGTTAAACAGCAAAATATATTATCAAGATGAATGATATATCACACAGAGGATTTTCTATAAGCTAAATCTATAAGCTAAAGAACATCAAAAGGTACACAGCTAAATAAGTCAAATCTACTTGCTCCTCCAGAACTACAGTGCTCTCCATAGCTATTTATGGAAGAGAAGGCTGCTTGTTTGTTTATACCAACCCCCAGCCCTCAAAGACTTGTAACTTCTTTTAAACTGAAATCTGGCATGGCATATAGTGAGACAACCATCTTTAATCAAGGAAAGAATTGGAGTTTTCAGGAACCTGTTGGATAACAGAACTGATAAAAAACTGTTCTCAATGCTCTTCTCAAAGAAGAAAAAATGATTAAATAGCTTGGTAAAACCCAGAAATTATATTTTCAGCATACAAAACAAAAATGAAAACTTAATGATGAGAGGGGGAAAAAGGTCATGACGAAACCTAGGAGCATTTGTGTGCCAGCAGGAAAATTCATAGTTAGAGTCTAAACTAGAGAGAACTATACCATACCTCGGGACGACTGTGGAATATTTCATCAAACAGACTCCTAGACTCCCTAAACTGGGCGTGCTAAGCATGTAAAAACAGAAGAACATAAGACAAATGCAGCTAAAGAGCATTAAATAAAAGCAATTCATTGCAACATACAAGTCATTTACCTGTTAGCAGTACGTTTGCCTGTTTAAATTAACCTTCGAAAACTGATATTGAGAATAAAAAAGGCTAACATGAAAAAGTCAGTGTAACTACTGCTATCACAAGTGATGACAAAAGATTGCTACAATTTCTTTGATATGTTGAGCATATAACTAGGAGCATACAAAAGAAATGAATGTTTACATAATCTATTCTTCTAAGGATTGTGGATTAAGATCCACAAAATCATGTACCAAATGTGTCGGTAAGTTTACGTTGTCAGTTTAAGTTTTGATCGTTCAGATGATCTGTGGATTCAAGGACTATGACAAAGCCTTTAATATGATCACAGTCTTATTTTCCCATAACGTCCCTATCTCATTCAGGAAAAAAAAAGAATGAAATCAGTTCATTAAACACACTTTTTATGCAGTTCTCCTCTCTCCTGAAAAATTAATAGGCTTGTAGCCTTCTTTGCTGTACATTTTAGAGTATATCATGAAGAGGTTATCAGCTTCATGTATTGTTCAAGGTAACATAAGCTCATCTAACATTTTAAACTGTTCATGTTATTGTGGTGAAGCTGCAAAATATCCTAATTCAACAAGAAGTTAGAAGCATAGCTCTTAGCACAGTTCACTATCTTAAGAGCACTGATTCCATAAACCTGAAAACTAGAAATGGAAAAGCAATATTTTTTTGTGTATGTTTTTCGAAGTATATAATAAGTAACTTAAACACTGCATGCAGATGCCACTGATTGTAATCTCAAAGTGAAAGCAATAAATACAGACCAGCAGTGCAAAGTTCAAGTGACTTAACTGTTCTTCTGCAAGTACTCAGAGCTCAGAATCAACATCTTCCCCCTCAGGATGGCAAATCACCATCCTAACCATTATGCGACATTTTCCATAGCCTTAATATTGTTTCATTAATATAGCTTCTGCGTGCACTTAAAGGAAAATAAGGAAAAGAATAAGAAGCAAAATGATCAGAAACTACCATCAAACTTGACATCCTTAGCAGTCAGCAGGACTTAACACTTTTAGGTAAACTAAGAAAGTTTCTGATATTAACAGTACTGACTTAGTCTACAAATCATTTAGCAAGGTTCTGCTTTTGGGGAATGATGGTATGTTCCTACTGATTTTTCCTAAATAGGTGAAATTTTTATGAATTTCAATAAGCATCAGCACTTATTTCCCAAGTTCTTCTGTGTGCTTTGAAGAAGAACATATACTGTCAAATTTTATGCAAAAGTTCATTTATTAATTCATCACCATATCCTACAATCCTAGCTCTGAAATCTAGATTCCTGCCCCTTGCCTCCATTTTACTTGTTTTCCTGTTTTAGTTGATCAGTCAAGAACGAATTGCCAAGTTTTACTAATGCATTTGATTTTCATTATTCTCACATTGCATAATTTCCAAATAAAATTATTTCACTTCCTCAGCTCCAAAAGTGTCTGCTCACAAAGCAACACAATCCCATCACTGTTATTTCTCCACACTTATTCCCATTTTTCTCATTCACCAACTTCAACTCCCTTCCAGTACATTTGGTTTCCACTTTCATTCCTCTTCCACTAACCTCAGTTTATTCTGTTCCCTCTTGCTTCTCTTTAAGACTGCTCCATACTCTTTACACATTTGGCTTTACATTCAACCTTGTTTTTTCTCATTTCAACTCAGACCCATCCTCCCTCATCCTGCCTGTGTTCATTTTGTTAGCAAAGCTAGATCTGACCTCTCTTCCCACAACATGTAAGCTTCAGAGTCTCAAAGTCTTTGTCCTGCTTCAGTCTACCTACTGCTGTTGTCCCTGTGATTGAGTCAAATGGCCTTCGTCTTTCCTAGTGATCAAAGGTCAAGAATAATAAAACTATCCATGGCACACCAGAAACTCACAGTTCCAGTACTGGAAGTATTTAAAGGCAGTCATATGACCAATTTTTTTTTGTGTGTCTCATAATCCTGTTCTGATACAGGACATCTGCAAACATTCTCTGGAGACAACACATCTGCAGCCCCATCCCCTGCAGAGCAGCCTGAACTTGCTGATGGGAGACTATCTCTATAAATTTAGTAGTTCTAAAGCTCTATGTATCAAGTATGGAAACTCATTTTTCAGTAACTTATGTTGGCCAAAGCCAGGCAGATTTTCTGAGACAGGGTAAAAGATGTTTCCAACACAAAAAAAATCTAAATATGTGAGAATTAGAGCACTTCAAAATAAAAGGCTTAAGAACGCAAGCAAAAAAAAAAAAAAAACAAGTGTTTTACTTAGATCCGTTCTTAAGTAGGCTATACTCAGCTTCAGGCTTCCCTCCCACCCCCAGTGAAATCAGGTCAGAGACAATTGCATCTCGGTCTAAAGGTTCCCCTCCATAGGGTCCCAGATATACAAAGAAGCAAAAAGAGTATTGCAAGAGTTGCATATGCCCCAACTGAATTATTGTAAGACTGGTAACAGTACCCATAAAGTTAATGTTTCAGTTGCTAACTTTTCAGATAAATTTAAAGTTTACTGATTGAAATTGAGGGCTGCGTTCAGACCGATGCTACAGCTTTACTCTTACTTAAGTTGCAAGCACTAGCAGTGTAGGTATAATCCATGCTTCTATTTAAGCAGTTAAAAGCTTACAAAATCATTGCCTCCTAGCAGGAGCTTGGCAAGTAACCATGCAAATATTTTGCGTCCACAGCTACATTTAGTAAAACAGACTTGTGTAACACCTTCAATGGTGATGTCACATAGACCTATTTTAACTATAGCTGTGTCTACCTCTAATGGCTGTGCACTGTGATTACTGCATGGCAGTCAAGGAAGAAACAGATTCCAGTTGCACAAGCTGAAGTTTCCCATTCAAAAGCACACTGTACTTGACATGTACAACCCAGTTAGGAAGATTTTAAATGCATCTCAAACTCAATCACCTTAATTAATCTCAAGGTGTAGATTTATAGAGAAACTGAATGCCTAATTTAATCATGGCATATTACAGTCAATCCTACAAAAAAAAGCAGAATTTCAAAATTTCAGAGAGAAAAAAAATGAAGTCGTTGACTGTTTACAAAACTAACAATAATTGGAAATGTGAATTGTGAGGGGTTTTGTTTTCTTTTTAGTTGTTTTTTTTTTCTTCTGCTTTTATTTTGAAGACTGTGGTCATCATGACATTAATTCTTACAAAACTGTAAGTACTGAAAGCATACCTATTAATTTACCATTTAACATACTTGTGGTATGTGACTTTAAGTACTTGGAACATTTCTTCCAACTTGTCATGGCTTCCCAGTATTTAAGTTTTTCAAGAAACAAATAACAAGGACTTAACTTTTACAAAGATCTGCACTGTTTGGTGTTTCAACTCTTCCAGACAATGAGAATTTCATTCCTTTCCAAATTTCTGCTTACTTTACTAACCTTCTTTTTAAAAAAACATATTAAACACAATATCAACACTAATTCTAGAAATTAACATTATCAGCAGATATTTAATTAAAATATGACAAGATACTGAATAAACTATCAAAACAGTGCAATGTATGGTTTTCAGAAATATTTAACAACCTACTAAGCCTCAGAAGAATGCAAACACTATATAACTTCTCTATTACTAACTTATACTACTTATAAAAAGTAAATATATAAAAAATTAAAATCACCTGCCCATCATTATTTTTTAGTGAATAGGCCATGAGATGGTCCCTATTATTATAAATCATTAGATTAGTCCTACAAGTTTTATGAAGTTGAAACAAAGAACGCTTTACTTACACGCTGGACAACTTCTGCTGCAGCAGCTGCCATTGCTGCAGCTTTGGCCTTCTCTGCTTCATCGTAAGTAGGAAGAGAGGTAGCTACACTGTATGGAGGTGGTACAGGATAAAATTCATTGTGTGTTTCTGTTCAAAATAAAGAGGTTACGCATTTTTAAACCAGAAAGATATAAGAAATAATAAGATGTAAGAGCACAAACTACTGAACCTTAAAGTGCATCCTTTCAAGAGGTTGAAATTGATAATTGTAGCTCAATTTCTTAGAAGTTTTGAGAAAAAAATTGTATTTTTATAGAACTACAGTGAACAAGTTAATGGTTATTTTAACTGCTTTTTAATCTTGATGCTACAAGGATCAAACAAGTTAGGAAAAGAATTCATGAGCCTAGTTATTTGTTCAGGCATTCTAATCAAGTAATTTTATCATACAAGAGACATGCAAAGAAACATACTAAAAAAAATTGTTTAATCAACATTAAACACCTAGGTCAGAGTAATTCTGAAACATTTACTTAGTGAATGTGAAATGCAAATTCTGGCAACTATGCTTAAACAAGGACTTTGATGTTGTCTGCTGTTAAGCCTCCTGTACCCTAAAGAAAAGTCACAACCTCATCAGAAAGGAAGTAGTGAATAAAAAACTCTACATTTTTTATTCTAATTTTCTTCAAGAGCCTTTAAAGCAAAATCCATCTTTTCACGGCAGTATTTTCCACCACACATGGCACATCCTTTGGCTTTCAGGGCAGGGTGGAGGTGGCAGTTAAAAGAGTAATAAAAATTGCTAATGAGGTCTCATAATGAGCACTGAAGTACACAGATTAAATGTGGAACTGAACTACACACAGACTTAAATAAAAGATAACCATTACACTAATTAATGAGCAACCCTTTAGTCAAGTAATTTGGAACAATCAGCATAATTTAGAAGCATGCTTCTTCTGAACAAACTTAACAAAGAGCTGTGCATGAAAGCCTCACTTCTTGCTGCAATTGTGTACAGAAAAAAATACTGCAGCACATACCAAGTTGACCAAGTGCTGATTCATACACATTCCTCTCTGACAAGCTCTTTTATGTAAGAAAAATACCTGAGGTTGCAGCTGCTTCTACGCCTATGCTACAGTAAGGTGGTGGGGAGGTATCTGCTTCAGATAAGGCTGCTGTCTGAGGAGTCTGTGACGTCTCTGTAGAAGTAGAAGGCTGCTCAGCCACTGAAGATTCTGAAGGGTCATCCTCGTTGTGAAGCTTAAAAGAAAACCACACAAAAGTAATGGAGATAATTGCCTGATAACTTTGTACTTGCAGACCTATCATCAAGAAAGAAAAATGCTCTTCAATAAAGCCATAAATTACTTACAAACGTAGCACGTGATCATTAAGGAACTCAATGAAATACTTCTTAAGCAAACAGTAAAAAGCAGCCTAAAATGACTCTTTCTTTTCCCCTTCTCCCAGAAACAGATAACTTCTGCTCAATTTGATGTTCGCATAATTTTAGAAATTTGCATTTTTAACATTATCTCTATGGGAAAGTGAATGCTTAAAATACTCATGTAATAGAAAGTAGTTTAAAGTAATATTTTTTCTTAAATTTGTTCATAAAAATATTTTAGTCCATTTTAAAATACAAGTGAGCAATACTATTTTTTTTAATATCTCCTCCATTGCTACAGTAAAAATAACACTACTTGTATAAGTGTGACCTTTCTATTCTTGAATTTAATCACATAACTTCTTCATCCAAATTCTTAGACTTTCCAAAACATTCTGCATTTCTCTACACTCCAGAAAGAATCCTTCTCCTATAGAACTTGAATTTGCTTGGATTTTTGCTTCTTTAAATACAGCTGAAAAAGAACCTGTACAGTTAAGTTTATAGGGAAATGAGAATTAGAATAAGCAAGCACATTGATTAAAACCACCAAATTCAGATCCATCAACTTACAGATCTTTTCTTTAAGACAGAACGTCTGATTATTTTTAGCTAATTTTATATCATTTAGAATATTAAGAGTAGTACACACTTGGAACAAAAGTAGCACTAGTATATACCAGTGTTCATGCTAGCATGAACACCACAATGCCTAGAAAACTACTACCAAAGCACCCATATTTAAAACTCAGTCAGATGAACAGACTGAAGAGATCTGAAATGTGTTTTTTAGTTCCTGAAAACATCTTGGAGAATATAGTTGTCCTAGCAAAAAAAAAAAAAAAAAAAAGAAATTAAGAACATGGGTCATTTTCCCATTAAACAAAGTGCAATCAAATTATTAGAAAAGATTACTTTCAGAAGAGCGCTCAATAAGCTCTGCTAAGTAGTGCCACACTCTTACCAATAATTTCTTTCTATCAACGGTACATCAAAGTTCTGCAGGTTATAAATTCTTTGCTATTCTTTCTAGACTAGTGATAACAGCAGAAATTAGAGGCAAATACGATGTTCTACAAAAGGCATGTAAATTGAAAAGACAGTTCAAAGGAAATAAAAAATTACTTAAGAATTTAATGTAACAATTTCTTGCAATTTTCATATGACTTCTGCTAAAAATACTCTCTCCAAACACGCCAAATTCAAAAGGGTTAGTTATTTGTTACAGCCTTTTTTCAAGAGCTCCCTCAAAAACTGTACTCTGAGAATTACAACTTAAATAAGAAAGGCTTTATCTAGACATGAAGTACAAGCTTAAGCTATACAAGTATAAACAAGCTTATATAAGTTTACACATACATCAGGATACCATGCATAAGTACATATATACATACACACACCATTCACAAGCACAGACTATTAAGGAAAGGTCACTTTCAAAAGAACTGATAGAGATTATTGAAGGTTTTTGGGTACTGAGCAATTAGGTCATTTAACATCTAATCAGCGAACCAAAAAAAGCAGTAAACTGAGAAATATGCAAAGCTATTCATAGTAGTTAAGGTCAGAGAAAAGAAAGCCATTTCAAAATAACCTAATATATTTAGGAATACAGAAAACATGTGAGAAGACAAAATACTTGATTCTAAAAAGATAAAACAGGTCAGGAAAAAATAAAGCTAGAAACATGGTTCTAAATTAAGTACAATCATTCACAAGAAAAATCCGGTGCTGAAACAGATACAGCCAACAAAATCACTTTAAAATAAAGTCGTAATTAAATTAGTAATGAGACAAACAACAGAAAACCACTACCCTTTTGTGTTAACATCTGGTACATGAAATATCAAAAGGTATTTGGGATGTCTGTTAGAGGTGTACAAAGAAGCAAGCAGGAAAAAAAAGGGCAAGCAAAAAAGCCTGGGTAATAGGGTTCTGCTGGTTATCTTCATTCCTCCTCTCCTCTCGCTCTCCATTTCAATAACTGTTCTGTAATTTTATTCCCCCCTCCTCCCCCCGTCAATGCACAGTTTGAGCTGTGACCACACTACAGATGCACAAAGATCCACAACACCCACTGGGCATGGGGCACATCACTGCTCAGTCCTCATTTTGCCTTCACCAGGAAAAATTAATTTTATCTCTTCTGCCTTGTTTCTTGGAAGCTACTTTTTCCAGATTTGAGATTCAGAAGCACTTGCAAATGACAGAGACAACATTATAGTGGGAGAATATGCACCTAATACTTCTTTCCGTCATAGACAGCATTAACAATGCATTCTGTTGCAATAGAAAGATTAACTAATAAGCAGAGAAACTCCATACTAAAGGCTCTACTCAAAAGAGTCCTGTTATGACCTGTAATGCACTGAAAGGGCATAGTTCTGGTCTTTATTTTGTATGAGTCAGAAACAGGGACTAAACATTTCAATTTATCCTGTAATCTAATCTACAGATCTGTCAAACATTCAGAACTGTATCAAGATCGTTCTGATGCATCAACTTTATGCCACACTAGATAGCATGAAAATAGCTTATATTTTTAAGTAAGATTTCTGTAATGCCTATAATGAGCTGTTGAAATTAAATATACATTATAGATCATTTTATAAAATGGGAAACAGTAACTTTTGAAAGACATGTATAAAATCAATTAATAAAGTCTGATATAGGTACATTAAGCTAGATATAGCAAGCATGCTCTATTTGAATTCACTTCATCAGAAAACACTTAATGGTGTTAATGTATTGCAAAGGGCATTAGCTGTTGTTATATTACATTTTCCAGTGTTTTTTTAAAAAAACCTGACAGATATCAATCTGTCAGCAAAAGAATAACATAAGCAGAGAGAAAGGTTGTCTTCTCAGCCTTAGTTTGGTGGGATTTTTCTTTTTTTTTTTTTTTTTAAAGGCTTATGGATAAAAGCACTAATGTCAGTTCCCTCAATAAAGGGCTCTTAACCAAACACTTTCTTCTGGCTCATTTCGTTCTGGCTTTAAAGTGTCAGTGGATTTCAGGTATTGCATCCGATTACTTTGGAAACAACTACACATACACAAAAAAAGAGGATTTAAGGAAAAGAAGAGAAGGAGTACTTCCTTAAAGAAGTGATTTATGATGAGAATGAAATGCTAAAATAAAAATATCCATATTTCCCACAATATTTAGATACAGGACCTCTGGTATTCTTAGTAGTCTCCATGACATTTTGAGCTGTTGTCATCAGAAGAGCCATTGCTTCTATATCTAGCTCTGAATTTTAACTGTGCTAAGATAAATACAGCTTGAAAATATATGCATTATGACTCCACAGCCTTCAGCGTGCTGTAGTTCAAGGGCAGTGAAAGCAGAGGTTGAAACACTTTGCATATAGCTTAAGGGAAATTAAATCTCTAAAATACTCCTTTTTAATTGTAAAGCTCATGTTGTCAGCCAGATACAATGTGTACAGACTAAGATGTAAAGCACCTTCATGGTGGCAAAAGCAGCTGTAATGCTTACAACTCCATAATTTTTTTAGCAGATGAACTGTAACTTCTTCATACTCTTAATTAAAATAGCAGGAAAAGTAATCTTACTACTGGAAAAGTTTCAAGTCTTCTTTTTTTTTTTTTTTTTTTTTTAACTTTTAATGCTAAATGCTGAAAAGGTAATGCTTAAGTACATAGCTTAAGTAATACCTTGAACAGACATTTTCTGTTCCCTTCTGAATATTTTTTAGCTTGGTTTCTATGGAAATGAAACCTATGCAGCATGTTAGGCCCCTTCTTCCCCTGCCTCCAGAAATAACTTCTAAATTTATCAGGCAGCATAAGCCAAAATTAAATGAGAAGGGAGAGGCTCAAGGAAAGCTGGGCTCCCACAGATTTCAAGTGAACTGGTGACACCCTAGAGGATCAGTGCCTCATGAACAAGGCAGGTAAAAGTGTTAATACTGTCTTCTCGCAAATGCCTACCCTGTTGGCATAAGCAGAACTTTTGGCCTACCAGAGCAAGTTCTGCTTTTTGTTTGTCTGTCTTCCTCTGGAGTCTAATAAGAGGACAAAAACTGAAGTTACTGCCTTGAGGAGAGGGCAGGAATCAGCACTTGATTCATCACTAACAAAAGCTAGTTTCTGCTCTTGGGATGAATAGTATCATTCTAGCTGTAAATACTTACAAGTCCTAAGCCACTTCTCACAGTTTTTATGTTGGAGTATTCTGTAAGGAGACATCAAGCAAGCTTGTTTTTTTCTGTTTTCTTTTGTACCTTTATTACCAACGCATTTTAGCAAAGCCTGACTTTCAGGTAAGCTTATGCATATGTTTTAGGAGTAATTGTTCTGCCTGGGTCATCACAGGTCTTCAACAGCATTCTCACCCACAATCTTAAATTAGAAGTACTTTTAATTTGTCCTTTCTAGCCTTTCAAATGATATTACTACTACATTCTTCAGTAAGCTTGGCTTCCAGTTTGACATCACGCTGATCAATTCATGAGTTCTTTCCAATAGTGTTCAAACAAATGCAAAGCAAAAAATCTCCGTAATACTAGACCTTGCATTATGCTTTAAATGGATATAAGATCATACAAATTCGAACTCCGTATGCTAAGCCAGTCAATTGGTACACTTGCTCTACAAAAGCAACACTCTCAGCAACAGAGGTTCATCTTTTTCCCTGAGCAGAATTAACACTTCTACATTTATCATTTCCTAGAGTAAGTTTCAGACGGCAGAAGGTCAACGAGAACCATCCACTTACCACTGCTTCTAGTGCTGCAGAGGACTTATCTTAACACTGCCTCTGCAGTGCACAACAACCATTTCAACACTTCTGCATTAGGTTCAGGACCTCTTCCACACTGCTACGCAAGCATTTGTTCCACAAGAA